AATATATATATATATACATATATATATATATATATATATATATACGCGTGTGTGTATATATGTATTATATATTCGCGTGCATGCATATATATATATATATAGCTTATGTATATATAGCATGAGGCACAGATGCGTATTGTCTATTTTATACTTCTATCTTATTTACGTCCATGAGACGATATAGTGAGGCTTGTGGTGAGCTGTGTAAAACTCTATACCTCATATATATTGCACGTTGAAATGAGTATACCCTGTATGCCTATTGTACATGGGGGCTTATACACCCATTTTATAGCAGAAGTATTTATTCGTGATTAGCACTGGTGCGTATATCTGCATATCACTTTCTGAATTTTATGGACTTGAGTGGGTTCGAAATTTCGTCCAAAATGAGATATAGAGGGAAATCACATTCGTAGTCGCGATTGTGCGTGCAAACAAAGCACGCTTGTGTGCTTGTATGCTTTTTTCACATATCAAAGCATGCAGACCCAGGCAACGTAGTGAAATGCCTGTATCTGTACCAGCACAAAGGTACCACATCTATACGTGTAAATAACCTATCCTGTCACATTGGTAGGTCAGCACGAGGGTATTACATCTATACGTGTAAAAAATCTATACTTTCACATTGGTAGGTCAGCACAAAGGTATTACATCTATACGTGTAACTAACCTATCCTGTCACATTGGTAGGTCAGCACAAAGGTATTATATCTATACGTGTAAATAGCCTAAACTTTCACATTGGTAGGTCAGCACAAAGGTATTACAACTATACGTGTAAATAACCTATCCTTTCACATCGGTAGATCGGCACAAAGGTATTACATCTATACGTGTAAATAACCTATCCTGTTACATTGGTAGGTCAGCACAAAGGCTTTACATCTATACGTGTAAATAATCTTATCCTTTCACATTGGTAGATACGTCACTGAGTTTGTTTGGTTTTGGCGGCAACACCCACAGGATGAGAACTCTATACAACTCAGCGATGCCCCTCCCTATAGCGATAGTGGGCTCGGAACCGCAAAACGCGTAGAGCCCACCAAAACCGCAGAAACCGCAGAAACCGCATATGGAATTGATGCTGTAGATCCAGGTGAGTATTGTCACGTATCGATTATTAAATGGAGCCATACTATGTATAAACCCTAAAAACTCTAAACCCTAAAAACTCCAAACCCTAAAACCTAAAAACTATGTATGGAGCATCGGTACATGTATACACGCACGCACACCCACATCCAATAGAAACTCTAAACCCCAAACTTACGTGTATTAAGATTAGTCTGCCGGCTGCATGATACGCATTGGACTACAACATTACTTCCACACCTGCGGTACATGCACACACTCTCACTCACCCACGTTCAATAAAAACCCGAATATTTATCAATCTATGCATACTCGCTCACTCACCCACATTCAATAGAAACCTGAGTGTAATTAAATCTATGCATACTCACTCACCCACGTTCAATAGAAACCTGAATGTATATCAATCTATGCATACTCGCTCAACTCACCCACATTCAATAGAAACCTAAATGTATATCAATCTACGCATACTCACTCACCCACATTCAATAGAAACCTGAATGTATATCAATCTAAGCGTACACTCACTCACCCACATTCAATAGAACCCTGAATGGATATCAATCTTAAAATGCACACTCACTCACACGGTATCAATAGAATCCTAGAAGTATATCAATCCAAGCACACACCCTCACTCAGCCACATTCAATAGAAACCTCAATGTACATCAATCTACCAGCTGTACGATACGCATTGGACTATAACAGTACTTTCACCCACACCTATCTCTCGGTGTCAGCACTCGAGCCCTGTCCTAAATTGTCGCCGCTGGGTGGGGTTTGCCCTGAACGCGACTCTGGCTGGTTGTCGCAGACTTTCTACACGTGGATGACCCCTATGATCCGTTATGGGCGCGCAAACACACTGGAGGAAGACCATATATGGAAGCTGGCTGAGCCCGAGCGGTCCGAAAACTTGACAGCCGAGTTTCTGCATCTGTATCCAAAGTGAGAGTCCAGCTATGTCCCTAGAATGTGGTTTTTCTTTGTATACTTGGTTTGGATTGGTCAGTGCTCTTGAGAGTGATGTGTATGTATAGTTGTTTATTTAGTTTCCTGATTGATGAGATATAGATGAGATTATTGCGGCGCATGAAACCCCCCTGGATTCTACTCAGTACCAGTAATAATATAGTCATATAATATTATAGTAATTGTACATAAAATAATCATAATATAATAGTAATATAACATATAATAGTCATGATATAATATTGTTAGAACTATTATATTATATTTAAAATATAGTAGTCACATGATATGATATTGATATATCACAGTCATATGATGTAACATTAACATTACTATTAGTTATATTACTCATATAATAGTCATATCTATCCTAAACCCTAAATCCTAAATCCTAAACCCTAGAGTCCTAAACCTTAAACCCTAAAAACAGGAATATACTGTCCATGACCCCCTAAACCCCAACCCCTAAACCCTTAACCACTAAAACCTAACCCAACCCCTAAACCCTAAACCCTATCGCCCAAAACCCCAAACTTTAAACCCTGCAATGCCAGGTATAAGACGATGTGGCGGACGATGTTTATGATCAACCGATGGGCTCTGTTGCAATCGGCTATGTTCATGTTGATATTCGTATTCTGCCAAACCCTCAATCCGTTGCTGCTTCGTGAGGTGAGCCATAGTAAATGCGGGTTTGCGCTTGTTCATTACTCCTGGTTTAGCCCACATTTGGTTTATCCCACATTTGGTTTAGCCCACATTTGTGGTTTTAGGGTTTTTGTCTATATTCTGCTTGCGGTTTTATTTCTTGGAAAATAACTTTTAGAAGGTGCCAACGGTTTATAGAATAACACGTTGTACACACTGTGACTGCGACATTCCATTACAGCTGGTGTCACGAATCAGTGAAGATGGCGAAGGTGGTTACTGGTATGGTATAGGACTGGGTATATCCTCCGCAGTTGGATCTTTGGCTAATCAACGGCACCTACACGTGGCTTTCCGTATAGGGCTGCGCATGAGAGCATTGGGCATTGCCCTAGTCTTCCAGCACGCGTTTACACTCAACGAAGCCAGTCGCTGTAACGAAGGGTATGGTCTGTACTACCATATTCTAATATATATATATGTGTGTGTGTGTGTGTGTGTGTATGTGTGTGTGTGTGTGTGTATGGTGCGTGTGTGTTGTGTATGTATCTATGTATGTATCTATGTATGTATATATATATATATATGTGTGTGTGTGTGTGTGTGTATGGTGTATGTGTGTGTTGTGTATGTATCTATGTATGTATCTATGTATGTATATATATATGTGTTGTGTGTGTGTGTATATATATATATATATATAGGTCTATATAGATATTATATGTATATAAATTATATATACATATATATGCTTGTTCGTGTGCGTATGTGTGTAGGTTTGCTTGCCAATCGTCGAAGTGGACATTCAAAGAAGAAACATATCTTTATGCGTATATGTCTATATATAGACCTGCGTTTACGTATATGTATATACATATGT